GGTAGCTCATGGAAAAAGTGCTTCAACCGACGCTAGTTATGCGTTGACGTTCGGCGTTTCATAGGTCATGCTAGAGAGAAATGGATGAAGGACTGAAGTAATGCGAATCTGGGCCAGATCCAACAGCGTTGAGGGCTGCTCTCGTGAAATGCCCCTCAAGGCAGGAGAGGCTCGAGATGATACCGAATTCGAAATGGCTGCGATGGGTCAACTTTCCCGTGGCCCTGCGAGAGGTAGCCAACGACATGCATGTGTGGCACAGGACCAGTTCAAGTGGATACCAAATGAGGTTGGCATTTTGTAGCATTGTGGATGAGCAGAGATTTCAGTGGGACAAAGAAGGCTGGATAGCTAGACGTATTGGGAATCGGAAGAGATATGAAATCAGGGATTACTGTTGGTTTTACAAGTTCTCCTTCTCCTTCTTCTACAACTCGACGAGGCCGTACGGTTTGACAATCGCACCCACCTTTCGCCTGGGCGCACTGGTGACGGTGACGGTGGTGTTGGTGCTGGTGCTGGTGCTTGCTGTGTTGGCGATGATGTGAATCGGTGAGTTCGAGTGCCGCTTCGAGCCGCCAGACGACAGACTGGGCTCATGTGGACACGATTGTGACTAGGTGACCGGACATGGCTTGGCTGGACTACCGGCAGCCGAAGAGACGGTCGAGACGGAAGGAGTGGTTGCAACCGCCTTGAGCGAGATCGGACAGGCCAGTTGCAGACAAGCTTTGGCTATTGTTGGTTGACCGACAGAGGGCGGAGAGGAATAGGAGGAAGGAGAAGAGGAAGAAGGAGGAGCAAGGGAGGGAAGTTAAGGAGATGGTGGTGACGCTAGTGCAGACATCATTGGAGGAACTCTTCAAGGTAGGGCGGATCGAGGTGAGGATCGACGAGGGAGACTGGACGAGACTGGGAGCGAGTGTGGCAGAGATCTATCGGACACAGACTGGCCATAGCCGACTGACCTCGTATGCAGCTGAAGGCGAGACAAGGGAAAAGACGGCATCTTTATGTAAAAATAAACAAACAAGCACACCCGCATAGGCGAAAACAGTTCGCTTCCTTTCCCGTCATGAAAGAGACAAGAATAGAGGATCTTTGAAAAAAAGTAAACATTAATGCAACTATTGAAAAAAACTTAATTGTTGAGCTCAATTGCATTTCGAGTGAAAGTGTTTGATGAAGGGCTTCGAAGGTGGATACTGGCAGACGGCGATCACCAGCGGATCCCTCTTGACCAGCAGTTGCTTGTTGACGCTGTTTACAAGGCGATCTACTTAGATTCCGATAAAAACCTGCTAAACATTCGTCCGTCATTATGTGACGGGTATCATCAGAGGCAAAATGCTGTATATATGCCCCATATATACATATATATATATATATATATTT